CTGCTCCGCCGCGGCCCCGGCGCCCGCTCCGGCGCCCGGGGTGATGCCATGCCCCGCAACCACGGCGGCGGGGAGGAGGGCGGCTCCGCGGGGCTCTGGGTGAAGAGCGGCGCGGCAGCTGGCATGAAGGATGTGGAGTCGGGCCGGGGCAGGGCGCTGACGAGCTCAGCGGCCCGCGGCGACGGCCTGCTGCTCCTGGGCACCGGCGGCGCGGCCGCCCCCGCCGGGCTGCGGGAGGGCCGCCGCGGGAAGCACGGCGCCCGCATGAGCCTGCTGGGGAAGCCGCTGTCTTACAGCAGCGGACCGAGCTGCCGCAGGAACGCCAAGTACCGCCGCCTGCAGAACTACCTGTACAACGTGCTGGAGCGGCCCCGCGGATGGGCCTTCGTCTATCACGCCTTCGTGTGAGTACCGACCCGCTCCCCTCTCCTCCCGTCCCGTCGCGTCCTGCCCTGTCCCGACCCCTCCCGTTCGTTCCACGGGCTGCCGCCCCCACCTGTCCTGAGCAGCGCCCCGCCGCACGGCGCGGCGCGTACCTCCCCCCTGCCCCTCCTGTCCCCGGGCATCCCTCCGTGCCGGGACACGGGGAGGACGAATACCCCGCGAGTCGCGCCCAAAGTGCCCGGAGGAGTCAGAGGAGGCGCAGGAGCCGCTGCCACCTGCGGCGCGGCTCTCCGCGGGCGGCGGGAAATCCCGCGCAGCCCTAGGTGGGAGGTGATGGGGGAAAAGCTCGGTTCACCCGGCAGAGAACGGGCGGGGAGCACGGCGTGGAGCACATGCCCGCCGGTCTCCCGGGCGCCCGAGGCAGCCGGTTTGCGCTGCGGGAGGCTGAGCGGCGCTCCCGCTGATGCCACACGCCGGCCTGAGATTAGACGGAGCGAGGGGTGCCGGCGGCTGCCGGGTCCCCCCGCGACCGCGGGGCACAGTGGGTGCGCCGGCGGCATCCGCAGCGCCTGTCCTGCCGGGCGGACACCGAGCGCTGCGCGGTTTGAAAAGTTACCGCCGCGGGGCCGCAGCGCTCGGTTCTGCCTCCAGAGTGTTTTCCGGGCGCGCCTGGTCCCCGCCTCGCAGGGAGTGCGGGTGACGGCGCCTTCCCACGCGGGTGCTCGCCGCGGGATGCTGCGCCTCAGGTGCGGCCACCTGCCGCTGGCAGGGCGCAGCGAGCGGCCGCCGCGCCGGCGGCTTTTCCGCCGGTGCCTGCCGCTGCTGAGCTTTGATCTTAGCAAGTGACGGTTCCTGTCGCACTCATCCTGAAAAAGCTCGTGACGGAAATGTATGTTCCGTCCCATCGCTCAGTGGAGAGCGGTACTGTCACCGCGCTGTGAAGCTTGTGCTGGTTTAACTTCAAGAGGCTCGCCCGGGACACCTGTGCAAGGGGACCCGTGGCCGCACTGCTTGCAGTATCCTGGAGGTTAGCCATGCTCCTCAGTTCAGTAGTAATCTTCCATTTTTATGGGTTTTGGTAATATTCGGGGGAAAGGCCCTACTCAAAATCCTTTTCGATGGCTGAGCAAAACATGCAACAATATCTGCCAAGGAGTTGTGACAGTGGATCATATTTATGGGTGAAAACGTGATCAGTTACAGAGGAAGGAAGTTAAGCATTACTGTATTGGGGATATAATACAATTTATTGTTATGTCTGACTATAGGAAATACATCATAAACGAATCAGAATATTTAACTGATATGCTGTAAGTAACTGTATTTGGTCCATGGTAGTCACGGACATCAAGCTAGCGGCTGCAGCATCTTGGCTAAAAAATGAACTCTTCCCTAAAAGCTGTTTGACAGCGTAAAGAGTGCTCCTCTCCCAGCAGTAGGGGAACCCTCAAATCTTACTTTAATAGCAGCTGTTGTAAGTAAAAAGGTGCCAAAAACATGGCGGTGTGATTAATAAGATACTTTGTGGATAGATTGATTTAGAAGATGACAATTACTATAGATAGCAAGTAGTAGAAATATGCTTAATGTCATATATTATTCAGTAAAAGGATTTTTGTCCACTTAGAGGATCTTCCCATTATACCTGCTTTACTCTGAAAATCAACTCTTACACCCAAAATGTTCTTCTTGGAGGGCATTTATTTGGTACATTTTGCTGTCTGGGTCCTTACAGTTGTTTTCCTGTGGCCTAGATGGATGTAAATTAGTGTTGCAACAACCACCAAAATATGTACTAGGAATCGTTTTATGTCAGTGCCTGAAGTTGCCATACAAAATATGCAAATTATAGTTTCGGACTTTTTTTGTTTGAGTTTGTGATAGAAATCTTTAAAACCAGAAAAGTTCAAGTTGGAAATACAGCTGAGAAGTTTAAACCTTAAAAAAAAAAAAAGGTGGTAAATTTCCAAACGGAGTGTAGTCATGACACAGCAGCGCTGTAAACAAGGCAGATTGCCAGCTGCGTTTAGATAATTGCCTGCATAGAAAGAGTGCCAGTTTTAATTTTTAATTGCAAATGGCAGTTTTGGCAAATGTAATGCCAGCATTACATCTTTTATCTGAACAGATCTGTGTGAAAGAGCTTGAAACATTACTGTAGTATAAGACACCTAGTAATAATATTACCTTGAAGTATTTGCCACTGATACAGTGTTTAAGGTGCAGTTGAAGTTCCATTGGATTTCAGTTTGACAGCCATCCTTATTGCCAGGGATGCCACAGTCTACAAATTATTTTAATGTATAATTCTGATTTAATCACAGTCAGGATAATAGGATAATAGGGTAATATTTATGGTGTTCCAGGCTCATTTTTTTTTCAGCCACTTGATCGAATATAGTTGCATCTTGGAAAACAGACTTTCTTGCAGAATTAAAAACCAAAACATAACAAAAAAAACACAGCTATTTGAAAAAAGAAGTCTTGAGATGAGTAGCTTAGAGTTGCAAAGACATTATTACAAAGTACATGGAGGAGATGTCTGCTTCTACCACTGCTAAGCTATTCTTGACTGCAGTGGAGCCCGTTTTAGCTCTGTACTATTTCTGTTATAGGAATGGGCTATCTGGGGTGAGACCTTTTGAGCAGATCATTGGTCTCCTGAAACCTCACTCTCATATGCAGGTTGCAGTAATGCAAGGGTAGTTACAGAGTTTTGGTTCCAAAGGCTTTGATCTATCAGTTTAGACTTGTGTGTTTGTTTTTTAAATAAGAACTAGGGAATTGAAGATTTGTTACAAATAAGGAATCATTCCTGTGGTGATATCGGTGATATTTTAATGTATCACTCCCATGGGGAAAAACACTTCAGAGCTGAGAAGTATGACCAGTTAGCTCTTCTTTTTTGTTCTTGCCCTTTCAAATAAGATAAAAATAGGCCAGCCACCTAAGGAATGAGTGTTGTGACCTACATTCAGAAGTCAATTGGTTAGTTTATTTGTTAATACAAACCTGCCCAATTCTAGAAAAGTCAGCTATTTTGCAAACTTCTGCAGCTAGGGGAAGAAGTTGCTCTTGAGCAAAGGCCTTTGATTTCAGTAAAGTTGTGCTAGGGAGCAGAGCCATAAATGACATGTTTCTCGAATCCTTTTTTGCACACCTCAGTAGTTCTTTGCACTGAAAGTCCTATTAAAATTTAAGATCTTTCCTGCAAGTTTTTGAAAACCTTCTTTTCAGATACCACTTGATGTCACACCACATCACCTACGCATGGAGCCATGTGCATATTTAATACGTGTGCTTACATTAAAAGGTTGTGATATTGTAACTTTTCAAAAGCATTGTCGTGGAATGTCACAGGATTTCTTTCTGTTATTGCTGTTGCTCTTTATTATGGCTTGTTTGGTGTGATAAAAATGTGCAGCCATTGCCTTAGAATGATCAAAGGGGAATTCCAGATTTGTTGCAAATTTAACTCTGGATTTCATCTTCACTTATCATAAGGGCTTTCTATTATTTTTGTCCTTAATTGACATTCTGAAAATGAGATGGCATGAGATGTTCAGAAAAAAAATACTGCTCTTTGATACTACTTATACTGGTAGGATATAATCAGTTGCATAAGTTTCCTAATTTAACATGTTGGATTTATTTCAGGAATAATAAAGTTTCTGTTTCTTACTGACTTCTTTGTAATGTATTCCATGCCGAAGTCTTTGACATTTTTTGTGGGGATATCCTTCTCTTTACAAAGCTACCAAGTTTTGCTCTGGAAGCTTCTGAATTCCAAATCACACCTCTGGATGTGTGCACAAGGGTGCACAAGTAGCACTTTGTATGACCTGTATTGATAGGTTTTCATGAACATCCCCCACTGGCCACTGCAGAAGAAAAGATGCAGCGTTAGCTGAATTGCAAAAGCCTGTATGGTATTATTCTTGTCTTTTGCGTTATTGATGGAAAAAGACTGAAAAATTATTTCTGGAAAAAATGTAATGCTGCCATCAAAGATTTAACTAGCTATTTTAGCCATCCAGATCTGCTGGAAAGGATATAGCTCAGTAATGATCAGGATGGCTATTGACCAGCAGGTCTTTGCATGTGAGCTAACAGAGCCCTTGCTATAATAATGGAGGTTCCATATTCTGATTAGAAAACCAGTCATGTGCAACACCCAAAGGACTTGCTTGTTCTCATGCTATTGAAAGTAGGAGAAATGATTTTATATCTTTTTTTTTTTCCCTCTTCTGGCAACTAATGAACTAGCTCCAGGTGCTTTATGGGTAACTCTACAGCTTTCATCTTTTCAGGCACTATTTCAGAGTCAAGATCTGGTGCTGTTAGGGTAACAATATATTTCTATATGTTTGTAAAAACAAATAACAACATTATATTTACAATTAATAAATAGTGTTGACAACACAAATATGTAGCAAATCAAGTCATGTTGGGTACTGAGGAGATACAAATTTGAAACTCTTTAACTGTAGCGCACAAACCTTAGTTGGCACTTTCTTTCAGGTACAATGAATTGAAGTGGACATTTAGATGCCCTTCAGTATAAATCTGCAGTGATTTGCTGCATTTGAAGCAGTCTGTGATTCTATACATGTGCATATTTCTCACCTACACATTGTTTTGAAGGAACCTTAGAGAGTTACCCAGTCCAGCTGGGAGATACACTCTTCCCAGTCGTTTGAGACGGCTTTGTCTAGACAGGTCTTATATTTCCCTGGATGAAGGTCCCCCCACCTTGCTGAATAACCTGCAGGTCTGCAACACCTGCCTGTTGAAAAAAGAGGGGGGGTTGACAAGGGGAGGGAAGACTGGAAGAGCCACCCTGAACCTCCCAAGTGGCAATTTATGGTCCTTGTCCCTTTATATATGTTCTGTCACTGCTGAGGAGATTTTGGCTTCTTTATCATTATGATTTACCTTCAAGTAGATGTAGGCTGCTACTGGGTCACCGGTTAGATCACCCTTCTGTCAGACCAAACATGCTCAGCTCCATCAACGGCTCCAAGACAAAAGCTCAAGGCTCCAGAATATCATGGTTGCTCTCTAGCATTGCCTCTGTCTTCTTCACATCCCTGTTCAGCTGGGAAGGATCACAACTGACTGCCCTAGTGTGTGAGGCCACGCTGAGTAGAGAAGAAAACTTTTTCAGCCTGCCAGTCCCAGTCTTCTAGTGTAGTTGCTTGCTGCTTGCCTTATTTCTGATAAAAGCATGCTGTTGGCTTGCTCAACCTGCTGTGTCCACAGAAACACCCTTTTTGCTAGGCCTGCAACCCAAACAGTGGGTTCCCAGCCTGAATGGATACATGGGATTGTTCTGCACCAGGTGCAGATATCTGCTTTTCCCTTAGCTGTGCTTATAGATGTTTATGGTCACATCCAGAATTTTCTTGTTCTATCTCAGTTGTTGTGTACCAGAGCAGTGGAGATGACACAATCATTGCAACCTTTGTCATCTTCTTTGTGATTGGTAGAAAAGATTAAATGCTCAGCTGTGCTTCATTCCTCCTCTTTCCTGGTGTTGTTCATGGACAGCAGACCTCTCCTGGAATCCTGTCATGGGCACTAAATAACATCTAACTTCTATATTTTACTTGGTTTTTGTTAGTTTGGCTTTTTGTTGTTGTTGTTATTCCTTTTTGATGGGGGAGTGGGTTTTTATTTTTTTGTTGTTGTGGTGGTGTTTTTTGTTCTTATTATTGCTGGAGAATTATTTTCCACCTCAGGATTTTCAGTAGATAAGTATCAGGAATGCTTATGCTTACCTTAGTAAAATTCTGGTTTACGCTTATTTTTTGAGGCTTGGTCTACTAAATTTTCTCATTTGTACTGGCCTTCCTTTCTGACTCAAGAATGGTGATCCAGGGGAAGTGACTAATTTTCTATAAAAATCAAAATAGATCCACAGCTTTCTGTAAAGAAGACTGCAGAAGTCTTGCTTTGAGAAAAGTCATCAAGAACTGAATCAGGGAAAGTTCATGCATGTGCTCTTTCTTCTATTTGTCATAAGGTTTATTTCTTAAATGAGAGTAGGTATTGTGTTTAGGAAGGTGGATAGTAGGTTAGTATCGGAACTTCAAATTAATCTACAACCTTTGAAAACAGAATCTTCCTCCTCTTAAAGCAAGACCTGAGTTAAGAGGGTTTTTTTAATAATTATTTTTTGCTGTAATTTTTTGTCCTTTCACAAAACCCATGCAATGAGCATTATATGTGGGGATGAGACTCATCTCAGATCTATTTTTCTTGGTGTGACTTTGGAGAGGCATTTCTTGTCTTTTTCATTGAGTGTCTTGTGTGATGTGAGGAATCTTGGGAAACTTTCCGCGGTCTCATGTGATGAAAGAACCTGCCCAAAATTACAGATTTTTTCTAAGGGATGGTATATGAATTTCTAGTATGGCATTAAATATGTCTTCTCAAAGGAGAAGTGGTTTTAGTGAATTAAAGGAAGAATTTATAAAGATTTTAATTGCCTGTGAGAGAATATTTATGTGACAGATTTTCAAAGTAGCTCCTGAACAATATCTTAATCATCTAGACACCTTTCTTCTCTGGACACTTTTTAAAGTTGTTCAACTTTTTAAATCAAAAATAGGTCATTGTATCTATTTAGACTTGATGCTCTTTGCATGCTCCAAGTTTGACTATATTTTTAATAGCTGTTCACCCTGTTTTACTGTTGATAGTAACTTAATTAAGTTTCCTGAATTGAATGAAAGTACAATTGAACTAATATGTCACAATAATTTCAAATAATTGTAGCATCAAATGGAATACAAATAATTTTTCAATTAATAGTATTGATTTCCCTATTCATGAGAATAAGCATAATTAATATACTTAACAATACTCATAAAAATGCAGCTAAATTTTTCATAATTGTTTCAGTGGAAAGAAAAAGCACATGGTTTGTTACTTTATTAATCTTCTTTTTGTGGAGAAGATCTATAGAAGGAAAATCTTTTATTCCTAGACAATTTAAACTACTGACAGTGCAAATAAATCTCACTATGGTAAGGTAGTTATTTCTTACTAATTCAAAGGTAAAACTTAGTTGCCAGGTGTTTACCATTCTTATATGGCTCATATTTTCATTAATATAAGTGGTGAAAATCTGAAATTTACAACTGAAGCAAATTTCCGATTTTAACAGAAGCAAAATAGAGTCTTCTGCTCTTAGGTAGAAAAGATGCAGTAGAAAGCCTGAGTAATACTATCTAACAAAAAATCTTTAACGTGTATACATAGTAGACATAATTTACTATGTTATTCCTAATGAGACAGATGTTTTTATTTCACAATAAATGTTGCTTTTTCTCATTAACATTAACACCCATACCATTTCTCAAAACATTGACATAATACATGCATTCTTGGTTTTTTAAGTTAATGCTGGTGCATCAAAAGTCACTTGTAAACATGTGTTATATAAAAGGTACTGAATTTGGGGGAACTTGCAATTCTTTTTTCTCCTTGTTTTCTCTGCAATATTTTTTATTTCTTTTTGTAAGTTGGTTTTGCAGACTTCCCATAAGAGAGCAGATGTAGATTACCCAAGTGATTGCCACCACAGGTCAGTTGAGGCAGAAAATTCTTGAACTGTTCATTTTATCAATTGCAAAATAATTTTAAGGAGTTGCCCTTTCATGTGCAAAACCCTCCTTCCTTTAAAGATATTAATTAAAAGTTCAAAGGCTGTCTTATAGGTCAGCTGCACCTAATCAAGAAATATTTTCAATTTTCTGTTGAGTATTAGATTTATCTTGTGATAGCTATCTGATTTGCAGTGTAATTGCGTTACAGGAAGCTCAGCAAAATGTTCATCACTTGGGGCACTGAAGTGTAGTCTCAGACAGTGTCTTCTGCTTGAAAGACTATGTGATTACTTCTTAATATATATAGTCTGGTCCAGTGATGCAGAGGTGGGAACAGTCCTCCAGCCAGGCTTATCTGAAATTTTCTCTTTGGACCTCATCCAAGAAAATCTTCAGACATAAATGTGTGTGTTTTCCTTAACAGAGATGGACATAAATATGTCTCTATGCATTTTCTTGAAGAGTGAATAATTTTCAAAAGCATGAAGTACCTGCAGCTTCCTTTCATTATTCTATTGTGCATTCAATGGGTAATTCACTTTTTTTTTCTCCCCACTTGTACAGAATGAAGTTTAACAAATGAATCATGCTCTTAAACTGATTAGAAATAATGAAGAAAGGAAGTTCAGTACCTGCCCACGTCTTGATTTAAGCAATATATTCCTGTTTGTCTTGGCTTCCTTCTTGCTTTGAGACTCCATAGTTTGACCAAGCAAACATATTAATGCCTTTTGAGATTTCTGTAGAGTTTTGATTCTTTTATTGCAGTCATACCTGATACCATATGGAAGGGACAGGCTGGTGCCAGGAGTCAAATATCATCAAACCAAGAGAATAAAAACTTTATGCTTTGAGAAAAAAAATGCTACTGAACACATTCAGATACTTCCTATTTCACTTCTCTCATAGATTAGAACACTTGCACACACTCTTGAAGCCATTCAGTCAGAAACAGCATCTAACTTCTCCTAGGGCATTACATTTAATTCCTTTATGTGGCCTAAGCTCATCCGTAACTGTGGTACCTGGAAGTAAATGCACAAATATTTTCCTTTGAAGCTCTCGTGACAGGAGTGCACTTAAAAGTTACTGCTGGCCCTTTCTGAATATGGGTGAGAGTCCTGACATACTTGAGAGGGTCTTTTGTGGGAAAATTAAGATGAAATAGTGCTTTGGATGCATTTCTGTAGGTGGTGGAGATGGAGAGCCACTGATCCTTGGCAGTGAGTTTGAAAATGTAGGCCACTCTCTCTGTGAGAAAAGTCTCTGTAAGTGCATCTTTTTAACAGTGGACCTGCCCTGTCACAGTAGAGATGACAGGTGATGGCTCAGTTGAAGCTGGCTTGATGAGGCTGCTGTGATATCCACACTACTGCCAGGCTGGTAAGCAGGTGATGTCCTCTTCTCATCAGGTAGCCCAGCACTGGAGAAAATGAAATTTCCATGTTTCCAGAAAAAATCACACAGTGAATTCATCAGCTTGAAAAACTCTTTTACACCCAAGAAAGTTATGCTGACTGAGGTCAGAAGAAGTCTCTAAATTCATTAGGAGGAAAGAAGTCTCTTTTTCTGTTTACATCCCTCTGCAGTTGATATCTATCTGTAGAGTCAGGTTTATTCACATGCAATAATCGAATAATTGCCACAGGAAGGAGCACAGTCTTGCTCTTTGCAGCTCTGTGAGAACGATCTGTATAGATGGCAGGAAATGTAAACCCGTGTGGGAATGAGCTGCTTGCAGGTGTCTGGGCAACAGGGAGGGAAGAAGGAAGAGCTTATGCTGGCAGTGGGAGGGTTTTTCTTAGTCCTGTCCTTCAGACTCTTCTGAATGTAGTCCTGAGAATTTAGGAGCATCAAATCACAGAATCATTCAGGTTGGTAAAGGTGTGTAAGATCATAGACTCCAGTTGTAAATCTAACACTGCTAAATCCACCACTGAACCACATCCCTGAGTTCCATATCTACCACAGGTCTTTTAAATTCCTCTAGGGATGGGAAGTGAATAACTTCCCTGAGCAGCCTGTTCCAATGCTTGACAATCTTTTCTGTGAAGAAATTTTTCCTAATATCCAATCTAAACCTCCCCTGGCACATCTTGAGGCCACTTCCTCTTGCTCGATTGCTTGTTGCTTGGAAGGAGATACCAGCTGCCATCTCACTTCAACAGGCCTTTCTGGTGCCTTTGGCCACTCTTACTGGAAATGTTAATAATATTTCTTCTTCAAGGAGGTTCCATTACACTTCAGGTGCAGCTATGGTTATTTACAGTAAGTGTGCATGCCCTCAAGTGACTTATTCAGCTTTTGGTTGATGAATCTGTGTATGTTTTTCTCTTTGATATGTCCCAACCACATCTGAAGACAGAAGATGAAACAGAATTTAGAATAAAAGACAAACAACTTTGCTAATATCTGAGGGCATTGTAAATTTTTATATAATACAATTTGCTCAAGCAGACGTATTTCTTTCCCTTTAAACTTAGAAAATAGAGATTTTATTTAGTGGTTGGAGATACTGTCTGGAAGGGAGTTATCCTTCCTTAAAGGTCACACTGACTGCTGACTAAACTTGTGATTTGTCTTTGCAAATAATTTGTTTACTGGGTGGGGTGTTGGAGTTGAGACGTTATTGTTAGCTACGATGAGACAGATGATGGTCCTGAGTTACAAATACTCTTGGAAGGAATTTTGACTTTTGTCCTGAAAATTCTTGTGGACATTAGTTTTAGTGGTGTTATTAATAGATCTAGGTGTTTACAGAGTAATTACTAGAAGCCATCAAACTCAACATTAATAATCTTTCCTTCATGAATGATGTCAAAAACTCATCTGAATTACAGATTTTATAAAGCTCCCTAAGTTTTACTTGAGAAATTCTCCCACGGAGAGAGGAAGGACTAATCTGAAATCTTCCATGCTCCCATGTTGTATGTGGGCACTCTGCATGAGATTTTGCTGTTTGGAGATATTACATAGGGAGAGTTATGGTGAGAGCATTTGTGGCATTGCAGAGGCAGAAGAAGTTATCTAGGTGGGAACACAATCATTGAGGGAAGGGAGAATTTGTGAATGTCTACTTGACTGTAACAGCACTTGACTGATACTATATATTACTTTCAGATTAGAAATGTGCTTGTCTTCTATTAGTAATGTATTTTTAATATTTCTACCCCGCTTTTTACCTGTTTTCTGTAGAGAGAAAGCTGAAGAGATAGTATGAGTCAATTTACTGGATTTATATGTAAATAAAACATAGTATTGACCTTTACATTTTTCTTCCATCGAGGTCTTGACCCAGTATGCAGATCTGAGGAAATATCACGACATAAAAGTTTTGCTCACCACCTGATTGCGTTCCTGATTGCTTTTTCTTTGGTAAATATTCATGTATATCTTGCTGAAGCTGAGCCTCAGCTGGTTTATTCCCATTTGGGTCCACTCTTTGCTGGAGCTGAGGTCACTTTTTAGCTGCTCTTACAGGTCATTTCATGGGAAGGGCTGCAGCTGAACAGCAAGATGCAGTCCAGTGTCTGACCTCCAGCATGGCTGCATCTACGCTTGGAGGAAAACCTGGGGAGGTGCATCTGAAATACCCTCTGGAATTCTGAAACGGTGAGAAATGCAGTCCCCAGGGACTTTTTCTGGAGAAAGGGATTCAGTCAGCCTTACCCTTGTCCAGGGAATTTTTCCTTGAAACCATAACTGAGTTAATAATACCCACGAAATACAAAAGACATCTAAAAGTGTATTAATATTAGATTAAATGTTGTTATTGCTGATGTTCATGAATGGGAAAGCTGGAACTGAAGCAACTGTACTGAGCTGAGCACAACACCACACCAGTGTCAGCAGGAAAGCATTTACTTGGAAAAATCCTTTGTATGATCCTGCTCTCCAGGATTTTTCATATGTCCATATCTGTAAATTATCTCACCACAATGACAGGTCATGGCATTTTTTTGGCTTGCCTTTATCACAAACTTTAGGAGTTAAATTCTGTAATGGATAGTATCTGAAAACTCAGGTATGTTAAGATAAAACAGTGACATTTCAGATATGATCGCTACCTAAATGATAACATTTACTAGCAGACAGCTCATTTATTTAAGAAATATGATTTTATGACATTTTGATGGTGTTTTTCAAGCTTATTAATTCGTGACAAAATTGTATTCTTCTCTGTCTTAAGTATAAAATCTCTATGAAGTAAGACTTAAATGAAAATGATCCTGGCTGAAAATCTGAACAGTTATAAAGATTTGGAAGCAATTTGCAGAAGAGAGATCTCTTGACTGACCAAGAGATCTGAAGTGTATTTTGGTTTTGGAAATGGGATCAGTATATTAGAGAGGCCCATTCATCTCCCAGTCTATATTTAGCATGCTGCAGTGAAGCAGTGACTGCCTTCATCACAGTGCAGTGTATCCCAGTCATGCCTATGACCCCACAGGGTATCTGCTCTAGTCAGTATTTTGAGAAGGCTCAGTAATAAAGTTCTGTCTTTCGGCCTTGTCTTTAAACGTGAGGCACACTGTAATGGATATGTGACCTTGGCAGGTTATGCTGTTCCAAGTATGGATCCGTGGATTAATTTCCAGCTGAGGGCTGCCTTCCCTACCTCTAGAGGGTGTGCAGGTGGTGGCAACAAATCACTACACATACAGTTCATACTGTTTTCTGGCAGGAGAACAGAATTGTTGTCTTGCAGTCTAGCCCTGGGAATTGCTGGTTAGATGTTCCAAAAAATCATTAGCATGTTAATTTGATTAAAAACAATAATTAATGAAGAACGCTGGCAAATTGTTAGGACACCTTGTGAAAATGATGGCACATAGAGGTACAGTTCTGGAAGATGTAATTTACTGATCTGCAAATTTCTTTCATGTAACAAATGCAAAATATACAAGTTCATGATTAGATAATCCAAGCATTTAAATAATCCTGCATTTTTCTAAATCACTGCAGACAACAGTTGTCACTGTCTTTTATGCAGGGTGATAACCCAGTCATCATTGTTGAGATGGACCTTTATAATTCCTAGCATGACCTCTGTTGAGCTAATATCTCAAAGGTATGACCTATCTGTCACCACAGCTCAAATTATTAAAACTCTTAATATTCAACCTCCTTCTGTCTGGACTCAGCAGTGTGCTCTGTGTGCTCATCCCTGTGGCTGTACAACCCTTGCTCCACAGCAGCTCCCTCCTTGCCTGAGGAGAAAGTTACTTCTCTTCACTTTCAATAGCTGTAAAAAGTATCTGGTTAGTTAATTTCTAAAAATACATTTATAAGTGAATAACAAAAGCAGAAAGTCAGCTTAACATGATTCATTAAGTGGAAGGAAACAACAAATGGAACTGTTCCTTTTTGCTGGGTCTGCCACCCTCAGCAGCATGTGATACAAGTGCTTTGCATATGCCAATAAACTGCTTGACAGGAGACTAGCATGAGTGTACTTCTAACTTACTGTAACTAAACCCAACCTCAGTAAATCTGTAACTAAGCCTATGATATGTTATTTTCCCTTCACTTTTTTGAAAGTGACACTTATTTTGGCAGATGCTGAACTGTTGCATGAGCTAGGAATTTCATTGTTTAACAATTTTATGAAGATTAATTATCACATGGTTGATGAGAGTCTCCTTCCTGTGTTGTTTGTCTTTGTCTGAAGGTACTGAGTTCGAGAAATAGATGACTGGTAGAAGAACAAGCAGAAAGGCAACACAGCTTCTCAGCATGTAGCATAGAAACTAGGATGCAGATGAATTAATAGTGCTAAAGATACACCTAACTTTACAATTTTCTGTGAGGTTGGGAGCTGAAACAACTGCAAAATTAAGTTGCTGGTAGAGACTGGTGAGAATATGGGGAAAATAGTCAATGGATAACAGGGAAAAACATACTGAAATCAGTCTCATGGGTTCTTTGAAACAGGTTGCTGTAAAAATTCTAGGGTTTGACAAGCTTTGAGAAAGTTACACATGAATTGGAGTAGTTTGTTCATTTTCAAGTATGTTTTTAGGAAGCTGCTTCTCCCAAACATTTCTACATCTGTACACTTTTGCATTCTCTAGTATGGAATGAGGATGGACTTAATGCTCTTGAGATAGTTTAATTAATTTAAAGAGATTGTACTGCTGTGATATCATCACTGTGTCTTCTGGGACATTCTACCAGACCTCTAAAACTGTGTATAAATTATGCACAAATTCTTCAAAAACAGGAGTGAAAAAGAGTATTTTTGCTCATGACCTTGGATGAAACAGCAATCCAGATCTTTGCAACTAAGTGTCTTAAATAGTTTTTCTCTCTTACAAACTAACCTCTGGATGGCAGGTGTTTAAAATTGATAGATATATCAAGGTGCAACTAAGTGTCTTAAATAGTTTTTCTCTCTTACAAACTAACCTCTGGATGACAGAGATAAAATTGATAGATATATCAAGGCAGGTAGGTGTCCAGATAGGCTGAGTCCACTGTGCTTGCTGTTTCAGTTCTGCACTGCATCATTCAATACATGCTTGTTAAAACAAACCTTTGTCTTCCACAAAGACATAGAAAGTAAGACTGCCAGCTCTTGTATCCTGAGGGGAAGAAAGAAAACTGAAATAAAATTTAAAAAAAGGCAAAAGACAACAAACAAACAAAACAAAACAAAACAAAACAAACAAAAAAAAACACAAAAAACCACCCCAACATAACCCACTGGATTTTTTTTTTTTTTTTTCATATGGAAAGTCATATCAAGCTTTTGAGTCTGAAGTGTTTCTAAATTCTTTTTCCAATGGAAAGGTGAAAAAACCCATTATTTTTCTTTTTTGAGTATATAGGTGTTTTCTAATATACCACTCAAAATTAAGACATAAGACTTCAATTTGAGTGACTTTTTAGCTACCCTGCCAGTCAATTTTTTTTCTTCTTTGGCTTGTGCCCAGTTGATTTCCTAAGGGACTAATGATCTTTTCTTACCGCTGTGCTCTCTGATTAACTCAAGTTGTCCCTCAGAGGACAAGGAACTGGAACCTAAAGGCTTACTAATGGTCACATTTGTAACAGGACCCCATGGACATTGCTGAGGGTGAAAAGAGCACAGCTTTTAGCACCATGGTTTATTTCCTTTGAAATTTCAGCACCATCCTGGCACTTACCTCACTCTCTTTTGGCTTTCAGAAAACTCTCTGATGCATTCAAGCATGTAGTTATTTATAAATATATATGTGTATATAAAAGTGCTGACGTACAGTGCTGTCTACATTAATGAAAGCAGAGAACATGATTTATATTTTGTTGAGTAAACTCTAGTACTTTTGGATAAAGAAGACTTTAGCAGGTACAAACGGCAGGCCAAATCCTAAAGCTGTTTACTAGCCGTTAATTCCAGGCTCAATCCAGAAGCTCTTACTCAAGCAAAATGCCTGCAAAGTAATCGGATGCTTTATCTTCTTATTCTTGAATTTTGTAAGAGTGCTGTGTAATTTTTTTTTTAATCGTGCAGGTTTCTATCAACCCTATGTCATCTCATTCCTCAGGAGTGACTGCATGTGCAGTGGTGTATTATGTGGTAAATCACCTGCAGCTGCAATGTATCACAGTATGCTGCAGACAGTGTTTTTACATTTTTACTTTAATCATTTGCAATGAGTAACAGATACTGTAAGTGGCAAAATACTTTGTCTTGAAAAGTAGCCGTTGAAACACTGCTACAAAAGTAACCATAGAGTTTGGAAAATTATATGGTACAAAATAACCTATTTTGTTACATACAGTTATATTCATTTCTGAAAATGATTGTTCTTTTGCAGGCATGGAGATCTGGATATCTTTCTAATGTAAAATTAATAAGAAATACTTCAAATGTTCAAATAGCTCTTAAATGTATTTTAGTTTGATAGCTGATTGTATATTATGTTTGCAGCCTTTGTGCAAAGCTGTGTTTAATAGCAGAGTTTGCTCCATAATGAACATAGATGAAGGCTGTTCTTTATAGTATCAATCTAAAAATCCATGTGTATTAATATAATGCTGTTGATGTTAAGCTGTCCTGTTGCTTGGAATTGATTGCCACATTGCTTGGCACATAGCTGTCAACTAAGAGAGCTCCTTGCAACTCCAACTTAAGACTTATCACTTCCCATTTAGAAAATGACCTTACAATTTAGTCAAATGACTAGACTGCTGTGGAACAGCAGCTGTTGGTGGAAAGTTTTCAAAACTGGCATGGATTACTTACTGTTCCCTCCTTTAATTGCTGATATTATTGCCTGTGAATGCAGTGATTATCAATGACTGTAATTGCTTTATAGTTCTCAGACCATTCTCTAATGATTAGCACTGACTTTTAGCTTTTAAGTTGGAAATGTCTGAGGATTAATCTACTGGTTTGTTTGTTTCTAGCAACTTTGTGTAAATTGCTAATTATTAATAACACCCTTGAGGCATGAAAATAAATACTGTAACATTCTCATGATGAAATATATTTTTTTTTAATCTCTGGGACCATATTTGGTCCAGTTGGTTTACATAACTTGCCTGCATAGTGTTGTGAAAGAGTAAAATAAAACAGCTCAGCTGCACCTGCTGTCTTCGAGATGTTTCTGAGTGCAGTCCCAGACAAGCATGGAGTTTTTGTGTCATCTCTTTGGCCCATTGCCCACCTGCCCTGGACCACTGCAAAATGCAGTGCCTGATCTCATGATTTTACCATAAGGTAAAATGACAAGTTCTCAGCATGATCTGCTACTTAAGTCTGGTTTTGTACCAGTTCTATTTTTGCCACTAAAGAAATTATATCTGTCAGGAAGATTGTCTACAGAGAGGTATGATCATCAAATGAAAAACCCTTGCATTTATAAAGATTTAAAAAGGTAATTAAAGGTATCACTGCTTTAGAGCACTTACCCTCATTTGATGCTTAGTCCTGTTCTGTAATATTCAGTGTGGAATAGTTGGTTGTGTGACTCAAGTTGTGTAAAGTCACAGTTGTGAAGATACTCTCAGCAGCTCTGGGTACAAATACACTTTGAAGCTGTTTCCTGTTGTGGAGTTCTTCCTTGCAGTGTGGTGTATGCTAATACGTTACAACTTGCAACTTGCAGTGTTTTATTGCTTAATTTAAGCATAGTTTGCATTTCTTATGGTTTGATTGGTTGGCAAAGCATGCAGAAATTCTGAGTCAGATGCACCTATTTCTGGATGCCCAATATAATTAGGTGCAGCCCTGAAGCAACATGTTTTGTGCAACTTTCCAGGCACACAAAATTCAGAAATACGAGGGAGGGTTTAAAAATTGTTTGGAAAAAAATTAGTGCCATTTAACTTTGAATTATGATTGTATTTGCTCTGATGAGCTTCATAATTATGAGCTTCTGCTGCTTTTTTTTTTCTTCCTGTTTTCTTTTTGAATTCTTTTTTTTTTTTTTTTTTTTGTTTTAGTAATTATAACTTTGATACATATGAAATATGCCAGATGGACATTCCTGGAAATGTCAGTGTCCTGTATAACCTTGGAGCAGTTATGTAGAACCAGCATGGTCATTAAATTCCAAAAATTTCTGTTTTCTGTAACCTTGTCCTGAGACATTGTTGTTGAAAGTGAGTTTTGTTTCTGTAGTTTATGTAGTCTGGTTTCCATGACCAGCCTGCTAAAAATTGTGTTAATTACTGGTAATGCATTTGGGTGCATGGTGCCAATTGAAAACAGGACTGAAACCAGAAGCTTCTACCAGGCATTATTCACTGCTGCTGATTTTTAACTCCTAAAAATTGGGTTTGAATTTGTCACTAGGAGAGGAAAGCAGTTTGACTGTAATTGATACTTGGACACTTGAAAAGTATCCAAGAAAGCTTTCTGTACTTTTGAAGACTAAGGTTCTATTGAAAAAATAAGTTTGAACTGCATCAAATTAAGTTCTTAATTGCTTGTGTGTAAATAATGGAGTAAAATCCATAGGGGTAGTAATTTAGGGAGAAATTAAATGCCACAGTGTATAGTATTGGTTTCTTTGAAATACAAGAAATCCATCAATTCCCAGAGCACAAAATCACATTCATCCATTTATTGACAATATTGCCTCCTGAGAGAAGTGTGTAGAATTTAAAGATCTAACGAAAAAAAACCCATTTATTATGCACTTTTTAAAAGAAACCCAGAATCTAATTTACTTCTTCTGTAGATTTGTTTTTTGAGATCTCCCCCAGTTTTATTGGCTTTGCTTGGGAGATGATGTCCCATATCAGCTACCCTTGGCTGAGTGCAGGCATGGTTTTTTCTGGGTGGTACCAGCAAATGTCTGTCAGGGTGTGGCTGTGTGAAACCAGGCTGGCTTTTTGGTTCTCATAAGCTGCTGGTGTTATGGTAATCACTTCAAATCTGGGTAGGCAGTCTAGTCTGTAGTGATGTGAATGCTAGGTTTGGGTCACTATGTTTCACAGTTGCAGTTAGTTAGGTCTTTTCCCTGTTGTTCATCTTTATTTTTTATTAATAGAGGGTCTGTTGTGTCTCATTTGTTTCCCCTACTAAAAACCCTTTGCATGTGATTTCTTGTTTCTGTAAAAACCTAACCTTAAAATTAAAAAGACTCCATTTAATATATGCATATTACAAAATTATGTTAAATACTTGACTAGATGGTTCACTTTCTTTTATTTAAAACACATTTTATAATCCACTTAGGCAGATAATAACAGTAAATGCATTCCCTAAAATTCAAGGAAATAACATAGACAACATCTCAAGTTTCTAATAGAAGAAAAATAAAGTGACACTGGAGACTCACAGAGTAGAAAAATAAAGCCAAAACTTAAATTTGGGGAAATTGCTGGGGCATTTTTGGGTTTATTTTTAAAAATTTGGGAGATAATTGTTATAAAAATATCATTGTAAAACCTCTGCATCGTAGTTTTGAAAACTAACATTGATGTGAATGAACATTTATCCCTTTCTCTGTAGCTTTCAAAACGTTGACATTTCTCCCATGCTGTAAGCTTTCCTTTCCTTTCTGTGATGTTTTCCTTTTGACCCAGCAGCCATACACTGGATAGGTGCACCAGCTAAGCATGAGCATGTTTAGCTGTTATTTCATGTGTGTGCTGGGTTGTTCCTCATGCTGAATGCATACAGAAGCACCATCAAGTGAATGAGTTCCAACAAATTGTAGACCCACCTTTGGGGGGACTCTTCTGTACATAAGGATATGTGTATGTTGATAAAGTAGCAGCTCCTGATCTTGAGGTGAAATGATGTGGGCTTTCCTGTTTCCACATCACTGAGGTCTAAAGGTCTAACTTGTGCACCACAAGTGACTGGCTGCATCTATCCTGTCTTGTATTAGGCATCCTGTACCCTTCTGGGCATCAGGTGATAGTCCTTACACATATTCCTTGGTTTTGTCCAAACTATCCAAAAGAATGAGAAAACTATGTAGCAGCCCATCAGAATGATGTTTTCTGTAGCACTAAACTTAAGCCACATGTTTTATTACCTACTGTTAAGTACCACATGAACCAGTTCTGTGGCCACTTCATCCATCTGATGTCTTTATCACGAAAAAGGAGGGGTTGTGCGAGCAAACTGCTCCTGAAGACAAAGAGCAAACCAGAGGTGGAGGCTTGAACAGCTGAAGTGTCCAGGAGTGTGGTGCCTCTTCCTGCCACCTTGCCCTTAGCAGTGTAGGCACACCCAAAACTCCACAG